TTGGCATAAGTCCAATTATGAGGAGAGATTTTGGGTGCAATCCAAGCAGAAATTGTTGTTGATCCAAGTCCTTTGAGTTTTGCATCACATAAGATTACATGCCTTTTTCAATTCATTGATATTTACTTTTATTTATTATTTATTTTTTGTTCTAGTTATGCACCTAAAACGTAAATAAGGTAAATTATGAATTCGTAAAACTGGTAAGTTATTGATTTGTAGGATATTAATTATCATATTTGATTTGAATTTAACTGCAAATCTATTTATTGAATTCTGAAATTTTCCCAAGGTATACCGACATCAAAATTTGTAATAAGAGTTCATAAAAACTTCATACCTTAACAATAGGTAAGGTACCTATGCATACACCTCGTATGCAGTATGCAGGTAATTAAACCCATAAATCACCTCTGGTCCAGGTAATTAAATCCATAAATTACCTCTAGTCTAGGTAGTTATACCCGCTAGCCTAGCTAATTGAACTCATATAATATCTTGGTATGGATCTTTAAACTCAATTGAGATAAAAATCCATGCAAAATTTCTTTTGAAAAAAAAAAAACACTATTACATGGAAGACATGTATGTATGCATATAAATATGAAGCTCCAGAAAAAATTACTTAAGAAAACTCAAGAAAAAAACACTTACCTGTGAGGGAGGTACATATATACCTGTATGTATTAACATTATTTACCTGTATGTCAGGTACATAATTTAATGTGGGTGCTTATCTGATCGATTGGTATAATATGTGAGTCTTTACTTTTTTATTGATTAAATTGTATTTTATCTATATATTAGGAATATTATCAAGGAAAAAAAATTCAAAATTCAAAATATGGAATTCAATTACAAGGAAATAATGCATTAAATTTAGATTTTAAATGTGTTTTCCTTATTTACCTTAAAGGGTAAAATTGACACAACAAAAAAGTATTAAATGTCAAAGGACCTACATCTAAAACCAAAAACGCGAGGACTAGACCCAATGACAGCTAATCGTTTTGGACCTAGATCTAAGAAGCCCTAAAAAAAAGGTCAATTTCAAGTCAACCCATTATGACCTGTTTATTAAACGGGTGGGTTTTGGGTCAACCCGCCAACTCGTGAAAAAATAAGGAGAAATAGAGACTTCAGAACACACACAAGGGGTTTCGATCCCCTACCACCCTCATTACTCTCCAACACCTTATCCACCATGCTACATACAACTTTGTGATTATATACTATAACTTTTGATATTTATTTTTCTTTCTTTTCCTTCTATCTTCTCCTCTCTTTTTTTTCTTTTCCTTCTCTCTTCTCTCCTCTTTTTTTTTTTTTTTCTTTTCCTTCTCTTTAGTTTTCTCTCCTCTTTTTCTTTTTTTTTTCTTTTCCTTCTCTCTTATCTCCTATTTTTTCTCTCTTTCTTTTCCTTCTCTTTAGTTTTCTCTCCTCTCTCTCTTTTTTCTCTCTTTCTTTCCTTCTCTCTCTCTCTCTCTCTCTCTCTCTCTATATATATTTTTTTTCTTTTCCTTTTCTTCTCTTTTCTCTCCTCTCTCTCTATCTTTTTTTCTTTCTTTCTTTTCCTTATATTTTCTCTCATCTCTTGATTTTTTATTTAAATTTTTTCAATTGTGAGTTTTGTAACATGCATGTTATTATTTATGAACCCGTTACACGACTCGAAACCCGCACGATAAAAGACGACCCGAACCCGACACGACACGTTTATTAAATGGGTTGGGTTCAGGTTGAGCATTCTTGACACGTTTATTATCCCACCACGACACGAACCCGACACGACACGACCCATTGCCAGCCCTATGTGTAACACTGAATTTAAGGCCAAATCACTTGCAGGCATCATTGTAAGGGGAAAACATCTGTTATTTGTCATTTGAACTCTAACAATGAGGTTGTCCAGTGACCAATCATCATAGATGTTCACCACATTCCCTCCAAACACAAGATAGTACCCATGCTCCATCATTTGTCCAACACTAAGCAGATTTTCTTCAAGACCGGGTTTAAGCATCACTTCTAGAATGTGCTTCCTACCCAACTTGGTTTCTATCACAAGAGTCTCTTTTCCTGCAACCGGAACTATTTCTCCAGTACCCATCTTTACTTTAGAAGTCAAATTTCTTTGAATATTGACTAAAAGTCTCTCATCACCTGTCATGTGGTTACTACAACCACTGCCAATGTACCATGAGTGATTCACCTTCATATCTGTCGTAGCATTGCATGCATAGAACAAAGTACCAGTTTCTTCAACCTGATTTGCATAGTTCACTTTCTGTACATTTTTATTTCCATTGCAATCTCTGAGCATATGTCCAAATTTCCCACAACCTTGGCATTTAGGCTTCCCTTCAAACCAACACTTGCCATAATGCAGTTTATCACAGTGTTTACAAGCTGTTTTGTTTCCATCGTTGGATTTCCAGTTTTTCTGAGATTTTTGATCTCCAGAAGAACCTCCACTCTTAGGATTTTTTCCCTCAATATTCAGACTAGTAAAAGCCCTTTCTATAGAGTTCTCAGTATGTCGATCCAATCTGAGCTCAAAGTTCTTCAGAGAGGCAACCACCTCTTGAACTTCAAGAATTTCAAGATCCTTAGAATGTTCGATCACAGAGCAGATAGAATCATATGATCTCGGCAAACTAAACAATAATTTCAGCACAACTCTCTCTCTAGATAGTTCCTCACCATAACTCTTCATTTGATTCATTATATCAAACAAAAGCTCACTGTTAGTTCATGAGTAGAGGATGACCAGCTATGTTGTGGAGGAGCAAGCCTTGAAGGTCAGTACTTATGAAGGAACTATTTCTTCAGGAAGAGGTAGAGGACGTGGAGGATTTCGTGGAAGCGGCAGAGGTAGAGGACGCCAACTTTCTTACAATCAAGGGGCACAATTTGACAAGGCGAGTGTGGAATGTTTTCACTGTCACAAGCTTGGCCACTATCAGTATGAATGCCCTGACAAAGAGAAGGAAACCAAGGTAAATTTCGCTGAGACTGAAGGAAAAATACTCTTGATGGCTTACATCGACAAGAAGGAGCTTTCATCAGGTGATACTTGGTATTTAGATTCGGGTTGCAGCAATCACATGTGTGGAAACAAGTCGTTATTTTTTGATTTGGATGAAACATTCAGAGAAACTGTAAAGCTTGGGAATAACTCTTGCATTTCTGTCATGGGAAAAGGGGATATCAAATTCCATATGAAAAACAATACAGTGCAGACAATTTCTAGTGTGTTTTATATCCCAAATTTGAAAAGCAATCTCATCAGTATGGGCCAACTGCAAGAGAGGGGTTATATCATCATCATCCAACAAAGCCGGTGTCAAATTCATCATCCAGAGAAGGGCCTCATAGCAGAAGCAAAAATGACAGCAAATCGAATGTTCCCTCTGCACTTTCAGTATGATGCCCAGAAGTGTTCCTCAACAAGAGTGCAAGATCCAACATGGCTGTGGCATCTTCGTTATGGTCATTTGAGCTTCAAAGGCTTGAAAACCTTACATTAGAAGAACATGGTGGAAGGACTGCCTCAGATTAATTGTCCCACAGAAATGTGTGAAGATTGCATTGTTGGTAAACAACATCGTGATTCTTTCCCGCAATGAAAAGCATGGAGAGCTGAGCAAATCCTACAGTTGGTTCATTCAGACATCTGTGGTCCAATCAATCCAACATCAAATGGAAACAAAAGGTATTTCATCACCTTCATTGATGATTATAGTCGAAAAACATGGATTTATTTCTTACAAGAGAAATCTGAAGCTTTTGTTGTTTTTAAAAGCTTTAAGGCTCGAGTTGAAAAAGAATCTGGCAAGTACATTCAGATCCTTCGCACAGATCGTGGTGGTGAATTTAACTCACATAAATTTTCAAGTTTTTGTGAATTGCTGCATACACACCACAGCAAAATGGCGTGGTAGAAAGAAAGAATCGGATGATTATGAACATGGTGCGAAGCATGTTGGTAAAAAAAGGTATTCCGATGACTTTCTGGCCAGAAGCAATCAATTGGAGTGTTCATACTCAACCGAAGCCCTACCCTCATAACACCACAAGAAGCTTGGAGTGAAGTCAGGCCATCAGTTGATCACTTCAGAATTTTCGGGTGTATAGCGTGTGCGCATGTTCCAGATGAAAAGAGAACAAAGCTTGATGATAAAAGTGTGAAGTGTGTCTTTATTGGGGTTAGTGAAGAATCCAAAGCGTACAGGTTATATAATCCCATTACCAAGAAAATAATTATCAGTCGAGATGTTCTGTTTGATGAAGAAAACACATGGGATTGGAGCAGCACCGAACAACATCAAATTTTAATTGATCTTGAGGAAGCTGGTGGGGAAATCACACAGCCACTGCAACCTCTTCTTGAAAGTCAGGGGTCTGAATCACAATTGCAACTTCCTGGTCAGTCCCTTGGAGAAGCTTCACCAAGTCCTTCAGCAAGAGCTTCAATTCCAGATGAAGTTCAAGCACCTAGCTCAGAACCACATCGACAAAGAAAAAGACCATCTTGGATGATAGATTATGTGAGTGGAGATGCATTATCTGATGAGGATACAACTGCTTATTTCACCTTATTTGCAGGCTCCGATCCTATATTGTTTACAGAAGCAGTGAAAGAAGAAAAGTGGAGAAAAGTCATGGATGCAGAGATTCAAGCTATAGAGAAAAATGAGACTTGGGAGCTAACCAATCTTCCTGAAGGGCAAAAAATCATTGGTGTAAAGTGGGTTTATAAGACGAAGCTGAATGAAAAGGGAGAAATTGACAAGTTCAAAGCAAGGCTGGTTGTGAAAGGCTACAATCAATAACATGGAGTTGATTATCAAGAGGTTTTTGCTCCTGTCGCAAGACAGGATACAGTTCGGTTGGTAGTCTCATTAGCAGCACAGAACTCATGGCCCATCTTCCAACTTGATGTGAAATCGGCCTTCCTTAATGGTGAACTACTTGAGCAAGTCTACATTGAGCAGCCTCCTGGTTATGTGATAAAAGGTAGTGAGCATAAGGTTTACAGATTAAAAAAGGCTTTATATGGCCTGAAACAGGCACCTCGGGCCTAGTACAGTTGTATAGAAGCGTACTTTGAAAAGGCAGGTTTCAACAAATGTCCATATACACCCTATTCATCAAGTCTGGAGTAGAAGGTAAAATCCTGATAGTTTGCTTATATGTTGATGATCTTATTTTTACGGGTAATGAGGAGGCTATGTTTGTTGATTTTAAGAATTCTATGATGGCTGATTTTGACATGACTGATTTGGGAAAGATGAAATATTATCTTGGTATAGAAGTAGTACAAACAGCTTCTGGATATTTTATTGGGCAAAATAAATATGCTCAGGAGGTTTTGAAAAGGTTTCACATGGAGAATTGTAATCCAGTTGGGACTCCAACTGAACCAGGATTGAAGCTCTCAAGTGATCTTGATGGAGAGAGGGTTGATAGTACTTACTTCAAACAAATTGTTGGAAGTTTAATGTACTTGACAGCCACTCGACCTGATATTATGTATGCAGTGTGTCTAATTAGCAGGTATATGGAAAGACCAACGGAGCTGCATCTCAGAGCTGCTAAAAGAGCGTTTCGTTACTTGAAAGGAACAACAGACTTTGGTATTTTCTACAAGAAAAATGGAGGACCTATTTTGACTGGTTTCACTGACAGTGATTATGCTGGTGATTTGGATGATAGGCGGAGTACAATTGGCCATGTGTTTTTGATGGGGCCAGGTGCCATATCATGGGCATCAAAGAAGCAACAGGTTGTAACTTTGTCCACAACTGAAGCAGAGTTCGTATCTACAGCAACCTCTGCATGTCAAGCAATTTGGTTGAGAAGGATTCTTAAAGAGCTACAGTTTTATCAACATGGGCTGATTGTGATTCATTGTGATAATAGTTCAACTATTAAGCTCTCCAGGAACCCAGTTTTACATGGTAGAAGCAAGCATATAGATGTGAGGTATCATTTTCTTCGTGATCTTGTAGCTGAAGAAACCATTGATTTGGTTTATTGTCGAAGTGAAGACCAAGTTGCAGATATCCTGACCAAACCTCTAAAGCTGGAAGCATTTGAGAAGTTGCGTGGATTACTTGGAGTTTGTTCAAGTTCCTGTTTAAATTGATTGCATAGATGGCATTCAGTTTAAGGGAGGGTGTTAAGATATTTAGATATTTGTTTTCTAATAAATTCCTATATGTTAGGAAGTCTGTTGCTTTTACCTATTCCTTAGGAGAATCCCAGATTATTAGGAGTTGTTAGTCGTGGGATTAGAGGTTGCTTTATTTTCTAGCTTTCTGTTATTTGCCTTTGTATTGAATTAGACTTCAAGTCAATGAATCAGTATCGCATTCCTTTTACTCATTCTGCAGCAAACTTAGCTTTTAGTTTTACAACACCAACTCCCCTCAATCCATATGGTTTAGTAAACAACTTCAATAGGAATCTGAAATCTAATTCTCCTCAATTCAACTCATCTTCAATTCAATTCCTCATAATCTAATTATGGATTAGTAAACATAGCGAAAGCATTTTTAAGGGTTCTATATCCCTAAGCCTAACCTAGAAGAGAGTTGGGTATAACTACTTACTTAAATGCCTAGTGATTTCTAAGAGAGTTGGATAGTTGAACAAAATAACCCAATGCTTTTTAGGAAGCACTTACGTATTCAATTTACTAGATATGAATTGAGGCAAAGTAGCAACTCCTTCTTTTCCTCGAACACATTGCATTGACCAACTAGCCAAACTCTCATTAGCACATAGTGATGATTTTTAATTGTTCACTGCATATGTGATGATTTTTAATAGTCCAAGCCAACGTTGTTCTAATTTTTCTCTTTTATACAGGTGGAAAGTTACCTACAAGTTCTTAGGCAATTTCAGTAGCAGTTTCATACAACATTTTCATACACCATTAAAAACAGTCTTGGACTCGGTAAAGAAAAGACTGCTCGCGAAAAAAAATGGAAGACGACCGCGCGCCACCAGCAGCAGCAGCCCCAGCCAAGGAGTCTTCCTCCTCAAGCGCATG